AATCATACAAAAACAACAATTAGAAATCCAAAAGATAAACAACAAGATTTCAGAAATGGACAGTGTCATAGAAGGGCTGAGGAGCAGGCCTGAAACAGTGGAAGACAGGATCAGTGAAATTGAAGACAAATACTTGGATACAACCGTGAGCAAAAATCAGAAAAAAGAATGAGGAAAAATGAAGAGACCCTGAGAATTATGTGGGATACAATCAAAAGCAAAAATTTGCAAGTGATCGGCATTCCAGAAAGGAGGATAAAACAGAAAACACAGAGAGGATCACCGAAGAACTGCTGACAGAAAACTTCCCCAATAACATGAAAGATGAAAAGCTGGCCATCCAAGAAGCTCAACAAACCCCATATAGGATAGACCCGAAAAGAAAATCACCAAGGCATGTCATAATCACATTCACCAAAACCAAAGACAAAGAAGGAATCCTAAGAGCAGCTCGAGAAAAACAAAAAGTCACATACAGAGGAGAAACACTAAGACTAAGCTCAGATTATTCAGCAGAAGCCATGCAGGCAATAAGGCAATGTGATGACATATATAAAACCTTGAAAGAAAAAAATTGCCAGCCAAGAATAATATATCCTGCAAAACTCTCATTCAAATCTGATGGTGAAATTAGGTCATTTCCAGATAAACAAAAATTAAGGGACTATGTAAAAACCAAACCAAACTTACAAGAATTATTAAAGGGAGTCCTTCGATCTGAGAACAAACAACATCAGCTCACAGGCTGAATCTAGGATGCAGGATCGTACCAGCCAGATACTAATCTAGAAAATGAACTCTCAAGCACTATCCAAAACCAAAAGAAATACAACAGGGAATCAGAGCAATTAATCTGTAAATAACAACAACACCAGAACAATAAAAGAGGGAATAAATGGTGTAGGTATAGAACCTTCTAATGGAGAGAAAGGCAAAGCGATACCAGGTAATAATACACTGCTTCAAACTTAGAAAGATAAGGGTAACCACAAAGAAAGTTAACAAACCTACTCATCAAAATAAAGAGGAAAAACATAAAGTCTCAGGAAAAACAAAACCTACAAAAACAAAAGAAATGAGAAAAAAATCCACAAACAAAAGGAATTCAGCACAGGAGAGTAAGAGGAACAAAGA